TAAACAACAACACTTCACTTAGTTTTACCAGGCTTCAGCTCAGTTGGAAAAGTAAGTTGGGCAAATGAACAAATAAAATGATGCCAAAATTTGCAGATCATCAACTCATCACACCTAATCACCTCTTGTGTCTTCAAGAATTCAGGCTGCTTCCTACAAAAGCTAAATTTGGTGGACAGAAACTCAAAACTGAATACCGATTGTAAGAGGCCTCATGTTGAGTCTCTTATTACATCAGTGGAAGGTAACCTCCTCCATGACCTTTCCTCAAGACAAGAGGCCCAGCACTGTCAGGGACTTTATCGAATGCTTTATTGCACGCATTAATCACATCGGTAAATCCTGTTGCGATGGTAGCCAGTTGGTATCGCAACCTCAAGTCCCTAGTCCTTCTCAACAAACATCTGAATGATCTCCCGAGATATTTCGCCCAATCAGCTGGGAGCCCTCCCCCGGTCAACCACATAGAAAATTGTGACTGATCCCCCCTTGCAGCCACTTCAGCCCTGTAAAATCTAGCAAGTTCAAGAAGCATTGAGGGTTGAAGGGGGAGCACAGAAACAAACTCAGCCATAAACCGTTCAATGAGCTCTGGTCTTAGCATTTGATTCCAAAGTACTGGAGCCCATTCACCTGGCTGGTTAAGACCATAAGCTTCAGCAACAATTAGTGCTTCTTGGAAACGGGTTTGTTCGACCAAGGCCCTCCGTGCATTAGTTTCAGAGAGATAGATGAAGTGCAAGTCTGGCATCCGAATCTGAAGATAGAGAAGTAATGCCTGAGCACAACTTTGGCGTGTTTTGCTCCCAGCATCAATTGAAGAGTAAACTTCAGCAGCTTCAATGAAGTACCCCATGGAAGCCAAGAGCTCATCAGTCTGATCCTTGTCAGAACGGAGGGACCACTCCTTACAAGATTGGTGTGCTCGTGACTCCAAAAGAGAAGCAGTCTCATTTTTCATATCAAAGCGGCTATAAACCTAAGGGGAAATAAAGAGGTGCATGTTATTTACTCTCAAAAAGGTGCATTTTTTCTGCTTTGAGGAAATGATAACATTTTTTGGTAGAAAAATCAAATTGTATCAAGGGGGAGGATAAAACATCTATTAACATGAAATTGCACAAGTACAAACCATGGCAAATGCATCGAGATCATTGGGATTAAATTGCTTGAGTAATGTGAGAACAGCCATTCTGAATCCTCTTACTTCCTCGTCAGCATCGTTGGCATCAACAGCAGCTGAAAACTTCTGAAGAAGAAGATCGAGCTGACCATTTTCAATAAGGATACCAAGAATAAAATTAAGTGCATGGAAGTTCCCCACTCCAGTTACCAAGCGAGCTAAACATGGAAAATCACCCTC